AAAGTCGACTCGCTTAAACCGACGATCTTTTGGGGTCTTTTGAAAGGAGGTGAAAGGAAAATCCACCTCGGAGAGAACGAGAACGGTGGGTTTTAAAAAGGGTTACAGACGTCAACGCGTTTTTGACGATCCATTCTTTTTTTGACTGTTTTTTTTTTTTTTCGAAACATTGTCAAGAGTTTTGATCTGAATTTATCATTCTCACCATTTATCTCTCTATCAAACTTTACACAGACGTTTGTTAATTGATATTGTTACAAACACCGGCTTTGGATCAGTCCTCCTCGTCGCTTCGTGCGCGAGACCCGCGGAATGAGAAAACACATCTTCTCCTCTCGAGGCCTTTATCTCGAGAAGAAGCGCTGTCTTTGTGCTCGGAACGACGTTCGCTGTCACTCTCAGCTATTCACTCGCGCTACCGCGTGAGAGTTGCGAAGTTTGCGCGAAAGTTTCGCCGAAAGTCAGCAGGCCCGAGTGACGCCCGTAAGAAACTGCCGCGGAGTTTGAGGAAGAGACAAAGAAAGAGAGAGAGAGAGAGAGAGAGAGAGAGAGCGAGAGTGGGTGGATGGCATCAATTATTATACACAGGCAACCTGCGATCTACGGAAATTTCCCATACGGAATTTCTTCCTGGTGCCTGGAACTCCATTCGCTGTTGTAAAATTCAATTGAATAGCGTTGAAAAAAGTTTATTAAGTGCACGTAGTACATTTGAGTATATTTTTATACAGGTAATAATTTAATTATTATTTTAATAGATAAACAAATTTTTTTACATATAATACAAGTTAAGTTGTTTACATTTTTGTGTGTGACACAACAATCGATTTCGAAGTTTCACGATAAGATTAGATTGTAAACAGATTGGAAGGGTGTGACTGTTCGCTTTAAGGTCTTGATGTTACTCTTGTTACATCGAGAAGAGCCGAGCGTATGTAAGAGGTCGGAATGTATTTTCTTCCTGTCGATAAATTGTCGGGATCCTGTTATTTCCCTTTCGTCGAGAAGTTTTCATTCGCAGTGTGAGAAGTGTAAGCAAAATATTTGTAAGCAAACTTTAGCTGACTCTTTTATTTTCCTATCACGTTTATCGTGAAATGCGTATATAAAAAATATATGATTTTACAAATTGTCTTCTTTAAAGATTTTGAATATATGTGACAAGGTCATCTCGAATCTTTTTCTCTCTCTTTCTCTCTTTCGTGTGTGTGCTCTTTTGTTTTTACGTTAAATATTCGCGAAATGAGTTTTCTGTATATTTTAACGCGTCGCATTCAGTGACGTGACCCTCGCTGCATCACCGACCACCGTCGGTTTAAACACCTGCGGGTATTTACTCAGGACGAGTGGCGGCGTGAGCTCGCTAATTGACCGGTTTTGACTTATTAGAATGTCTGCGGTAGATTTTAAAACTGGATTAACCGTGCTTCACGTTGTTCTTTCGTCCGGTTTACTCGATGCAGGTTCTTTCCGTTCTAGTTTTGCTAGTTGGTTCCGACCGATTCTAATGAAATCTGTAAATTTGACTTCATATCTGGACAAAACCGCGGAGTAAAAAAAAGTAGACTTATAATCACGAGAGTTAAGAAAACACGCATTAAACGGTCTTCTCATTAGTCGGAATTTCCGATATTGTTTGAACTTCGATAAAAAGGAATCTGCCAAACACAGAAATCTGTTCTAAAAACAAAAATTGTCATGGCTCATAACATTAATATGAATTGTGTGGCATTTCCATACAAAGCGCTAGACAAACGGCATTAAATTACAAGATAGCTCGTCTGTCTATGAACACGGGCGGATTAATTACCCGCGAAAATCTTGTCTTTCACGTCTCCGCGGTATTTCGCATTCCGGTACACATGTCGCCGCGGTCGGTCTCTTTGTCGATGTAGAAACGCCTAGGGCCGGTCAACCCGTGTGTGTACACACACGGTAGAGAGAGAGAGAGAGAGAGAGAGAGAGAGAGAGAGAGAGAGAGAGAGAGAGAGAGAGAGAGAGAGAGAGAGAGAGAAAGGACGAGCGGAGCCCTTCAATCAGACGTCGAATCGGGGCGCGTGTCGCGCGAATGAAATCCATCGATCAACTCAATTAACTAATTGCCCCGCGGTTCTCCCGCTTACCCTCTGCGTCACTTCCTTCTCTTCACATTGTAGTCACCCTTATTTGCGACCACACTGTAGGTAACCAGACGCATACTGTCATATTTCGCTACACGCGTATTCTCTTGTGCCGCGACTGTTTTCAGCTCTGATCTTTTCGGTATTTGCGAAAAAACGCCGCGACTGCCGGTTGACGATGGCGTTTGTAGGTCAACGGTAATTCGTACCGACGGACTTTTCCCGTTGAGTTATTCTGGAGAGGATATGGAAAGCGATTGTAGCTCGTTCTATCTGTCTACGTGGGTGTGTGTGGGTGTGTGTGTTTTTTCTTTTTTTTTTTTTTTTACATATTTCAGGCCTCGTTTCTCTATGACGCGTTACATTGTCGAATGTGAACTGCGTGGCGGACGTTCTATCGCGAAGCAACATTGTCAAATATCACGAAAAATCGAAGTATTCTCATCTTTTTCGTGAGGTTTTGTGTTGCGCTTCCGCGAAGCATTCTACAATGCGCCACAATTTTACTTCGTCAAATTTATTATTTCGCGTTCACTTCAATTATTTGATTCGCGATCTGTAATCGGTATTTTTGCGCGACAAATTTTGATCGTTCAACACACGTGCGCACACTCACATAGGTACATCCATCTCGTGATGTGTGCGCCACGGAATTGCGATTTCCCTCGTCCCGTCTTCCTCCCGCGCAAACTGTCTGTCCGTCCATCTCTCTCCCTTCTCTCTCCGGCCTCTCTTCCTGGCTCGTTCTCGTATTATGCAAATCCGTCGTGGCGAGCGCGATCACGGACCTTTGGCCGAGGGATGCACTACAACCAGGCGATGTCATGGCTTAGGACGATTCTGTATAAGCTACCGTGAGGTCACTTCGGGGACCGCGTAAATCCCCGAATAGTGATTGGCAAGTTCCCGGCGACCCCGTGGGATATATCATCAGGAACAGACGGTCGCGACAACGACAGCTCCGGCCCCGGAGAAGTCTTTTACGACTACTTATTGTGAATACCGATTTCTCTCGCGAGTTTTTCGTTTCCTCTTCTCCTTCGTCGAGAATCTCCCACTCGAGTTTTATTTGCTTCACACACACACACACACACGCGCGCGCGTGGAGAAGAATTACACAGCAGAAAGAAAAAAAATCTTTTCCTCTAATTATAAATTTTCATCGAAGCAATAATTCTATTCGCGCGATATTTTCTTGGAATTTCTATTCTTGCTCCGGTATTCCGGGTAGAAGAGAGACACAAATATAACAAGAAAAAGAACATTTCGTTTCTTTGTGCGTGTAAGAATCTCATGCAATCATCAGTTATTGTTCCGCGAATGAGATTGTGAGAAGAAATATTGCGCTGAAATGACGTAATGCAACTGACAACCCGCTATCTTGAAAGAACACGTGTGCACATATAGTCTACTTTCCACGCTAGAGAAAGAGAGAGAGAGAGAGAAAGAAAAAGAGAAAGAAAGAGAGACCATTTTCAACGGTTATAATCGCGAATAAAGAGGCGCGACGCGAGATTGTCAATTAAGAAACAAACTCGAATCCCTTGTTCCTTGATAATTCCGCAATTAAGTCGAGATGTTAATAATTCGCACCTTAGTCTATCGATCGAACGCGATGCAATCAATTACACGTGTCTGCATAATTAATTCACATTGTGCGTCGCTCTCGCGTTTGACATCAACTTCATTAAAGCCACGGGGTTTCAGTATTACGTCCAAAAAGTATGCCACAGTTGCAAAGTACAATATATATACATATATATATCGCGAACGAATTGCGTTGGCGCAGATGTCAAGTAAAATCGTACGATCGCGTAGAAAATTCGATTAGGTTGACGTCACATCGAAAGGCAAACGACTGGGAATGATTTGTTTCACAAACGAACTGCTCATTCGACGGTTCTATTAAAACTAGTGGAAATGCACGCTCCGATAAACTTTAGAAGCAAGCAAAAATTCTGCCAGAGGTTTCGACCGATCAAATCGATAATCACCGGCACAGCATTGAAAGGCAAATTAATAGCCGACAGGGAGCGAGATGTACACGAATGAGAGAAACGAGATAACTATTATCCCCTTTCCCCCTTACTTTTCACGCTGGTAGGTCGGCAATCATTTCCGTGTTTTTCTTCTTTCTTCGTGTAATTAGATAAGACGATAAAAATGTGATGTCACGTAACGTACAGATTTACGTAGTACGAGTCGAAGTATATAACCGAAAAAGAATGCGCGAACTATAGATCTGAAAGAAAGTTAAGACAAGTATTTATTTAGGGGGATTTTAAATTTACTCTAGAAAAAAAAAAGTGTATGGCTGATCAAGTTATTGCAGTGCGATTATATATGGAAAGGCATGAAAAAATAAGTTAAAGAATTGTTCACAGCGGGCGTTGATTATTCGCACGAGGGTTGCGCTTTCGGGCGCCGGTCACGCGGAGGCGAGGAAATGGAGCAAGTAGTGCAGGCGCGCGGGTAGTCGGTCGGGCTTTTTCGCGCTCGGATCATGATCGCCGTCTCACTCGCTCGCTCGCGCTAGCGTTAATGCTAGCGCTATCACGAGCGAGCAAGCGAGCAGGCGAGCAGAGCACGATTGGAGGCGGGTACGCGGTCGTGGCATTCCCCTCTCTGTTTCACGGCTGTTGCGGCGAGTGGGGAGGGCGCAAGCGCAATGACGTTCCCCACCCCCATGGCGCAAATGCCTCCGTTTCCCCGCCGCCGCCGCCACTGCCACCGCCGCCGAT